ACACTATGGAATTCCAAATTTATTTCCAGTGCTAACAGTTTTATAATATTTCAAAGCAACCCTCAGGAAGTGCTCTAGAGAAAGAGTTGTTATTGTGTAAGTGTGACTGTATCTCTCTTCTCAGCCCTCTCCTCTTTTCTTGTTTCACTCGCCTTGTGAATCCTCAGCTACAGTTCACTGCAGGATCAGACTCTTAACTGTTTTTGAATAGTCAAGCCTCTAAATCTCTGGACAAGTGCATAATGTCAATAGGAAGCAACAACTATAAGAGTTCTCCTCAGGGGTGGGTCTGGTTTTAACCACCACTCACGCCTTCTTTTCCTTTGGGGTACTAGTTTGTTCCTCAGTACACAATTCCCCCTTCTCTCTCACAAACATTCATGTGCACACACATCCAAAGAACCTCACAGCAGCCACCCTGGCCTCTTTGCCACCCTGCAATAAATAGGATGGATAGGGATGCACATACTGATTTATGCCAGAGGAAGAGGGAGGAGAAATAGACTTTAATGGCTGAAGACAATTTCCATCCAGTGAGCACAATCAGGGCCCGATTTTCAAAAAGTGCTTAGGATACATGGTAGCAGTGTTCAAAAATGTTCCATCCACAATGTCTTTTATGGGAAATTGGGTTTTCAACTAAAAAAAGTGTGTGCTCTTCAAATTTCATCTCCTCTCTCTCTCACACACACACACACTACCAAGCCCCAAATATTCTCCAGCCAATAACCAACACCTCTGCATTTTCAATTGGATAAAAAGTCAGTATTTCCCACAGAAACCTTCTCATTTTCTGACCAGAGCCACCCAGCAGCTCCACCTGAGAACAACTAGGGGATGGAGGATGGGCACAGAGCTCTCAATGGAAGGAGCTGAATGATGACCAATTTGGAAAATATTCCTCAATGTTCGAGGAGTCAGACCACAGCTCAGTGAAAACCCCCAAACTCCCATGGCAGAGCATGTCACACCTGCTCAAACAACTTTCAAATCCTCTACGCTACTATTTAAAGTCACCGTTTCTCCTTTACAAGGCTGCCTGCTTAACAACCCTGCTTTCCTAGACTTAGCACATACTGACACTCAATGTAAGCCTTCTTGTGTCCATCATGTAGTCAGTCTCCATCCAGCATGATGACTCGTTCCCAGCCCCACCTTTCCACTCCATACCTCTACCTACAGAGCTGTCCACACTAGGGATGTGAGTTGGTAAAACTATATAGTTGCACCAATGGAAGACTCCAATGCAGATGTGATGTGCAGGGGGGTATCCATCCAGCTATCTCGGTGTAGCTACAATTATAGCAATGTCCCCTCTGTATACAGGCTGTAGGTGTGTACAGCTCCAGTCACTCACCTCAGTTCTTACTGCTTGTTTTTTAAAGCGTTCCCACACATATACCACCACACAGGGCTCTGCAGACAAGCAGTGGTGCACAGATGGCCCCTTGAGAACATTAAATGCTTGATTTTGGCAGCTGGCACATGGTGCATTCTTCTTGTGCATTATATCCCTGTCCCTTTACACCCTTGGTTAGCCTTGTCGGTTTACCTTGTATGCTTTGTGGGGCAGGGACTGTCTCTGTTGACAGCATGGAATGGCCAAGAAATACCTAAGGGATGCCCATTGGGGCTGGCACCCTGCGGCACAGGCCCCCGTGGCCAGTGGTTACTGTGCAATTTACCTGCCTCAGTTTCCCTATTCAAAGGACTTATTAAATGCCACGCTGGCTTTCATGATCTCCAATGAGAACAGCCCTCCATAGAGTCTGGTTTATTATCTGAGAGTTCAAATATAATTATAAAAGCTCTTCCACCAGCAGTGAGCTAGACACGGACCCAAACTCTGCTAGTATGTCAGGGTCCTTCCTGCCTTAGCTCTTCCCAACCCTTCCTAGCTGGAGTAACTCTCTCCCACTCAGGGTCTTCTCTGCAGAAGCCTCTTGCTCCCTCTCATCTCTCCACGTACAACTGCCTCATCATCCCATCTCTGCAGCATCCTCTGTGTAGAATCTGTTCCTCCGAATCCCTGTGTTTTTACAGCTTGTCAAAGTCCATGTCCTCCTCCTCCCGCTCCCAAGAGGTGGGGCACATACAGCTAATGGGACAGGCTGGCCATCTCCGGGGTTCCAGCCTTAAAGAATCAGGTACCCCCTCGCAGACAGCGTATGACTGATTCTGCAGGCTTGTATCTGAGGGTGTGTCCCCTTTTACAAGGGCAGATGGAAAGTTCACTGGCTCTTGCAGCCTGTTGCCAGAGGGGAAAAGCTTTTGTTTTGTGGCATTTCATGAGGGTTTTTTAATTGTGTCCTAAGGAAAGGGCCTGAAAAGAGACGTGAGTGTGGCACCCAGTTCCACCTAGTCAGTTGCAGAGCTACTAGTGCAATTAGGTCCTGGGCAGGCCTGGCCTCTTTGCCCCCCTATAATAAATAGGATGGATAGGGATGCACATAATAAAGAAATTTTCTGACTAGTTTCATTGCCCTTCCGTTGTGGAGCAGCGGGCTTCATCCATCGAGAGGTGCGTCCTATATGACTAGACATTAAAACAGGAGAGATTTTAAGGAAACAGCCTGAACCTGTTTTCACTTACGCCAGCGTATATCAAGTAAATGCCATAACTTTTATAAGGAGCAAACCTCTAACGTGACCTAACACTATCATGATGCCTGATGGTGTAGTGGGTTAAGATTTGGGCTGATTTACACAGGGATGGCACAGGGATTTTTACCATGGGTTAAGATTTAGGCTGATTTGCTGCCATTTACCTATATGTATATACACAGGGATGACCAGAGAGACTGAAATGCTGCAAATAAACAAAGGACACAACAACACACACCGAGAAAACATGCTGTGCGCAGTGGATACGTGCTGGAGATACCCCAGGGTCTGTTGCTGTCTTTGAACATGCAGGCAGATCCAGGTAGGCGTTAGGAGAATGATTTGTAATTGTTAATTGCACCGATTCATCTCTATTGTCCACAGCCTCTAATTCTCCAAGCCCTGGTCTACACTAGAACTTTATTTCAAAAAACCCCTCCTCCAGGTTGAATTCATAAGCAGAGCATCCACACTAGTAAGCCCATTATTTCAAAATAACGGGCCACAGAATTTGAAATCTGCTCTCCCGCTTTTCAACAGGAATGACACTAATTCCAAAATAGTTATTTTGAAATCACAGTCGTGTGGATGCTCCGGGGCCTCTATTTCAAAATAAGGACTCCCCACAGTAATTGGAACGAATTACTCCCCAGTGCTTTCTGAAGCTCTATGTCCATATAGTAATTGGAACTAATTACTCCCCAGTGCCTTCTGGGACTCTAAGTCCAATGTAGCGCATCCACATTAATGGAGCCTGACTCAGATTAATTTTGAACAGTCCACACAGTGTGCGCACGCTATTCCAGTTTTGTTAAATCAGGAGTAATTTAGTCAAATTTAGTCATTTCAAAATAATTTCATGGTGTAGACATGGCCTGGCTGTGTTTAGTCCAAGCGCTGGAGTTCGGGGCTTACAGGGCTCAGTGGGTCGCCCGGCTCCAATCGCAGCTCTTACTGATCAGGGCTGCTGTTTTCCAGGATCCCAGGCACAAGTGTATGACGCCATGGAGAGCAGAGTGGAGGGGCAGAGTCTCGTCATTCAGTGTCCCTACAATGCACAGCAATACAGTAGAACGGGGAAAACCTGGTGCCGACTGAGAGAGAAGAGCTGCTTTCTCTTAGTGAGCACCATTTACCCATCACAAGGTAGATACCAAAACAAGGTTACGGCTGGAAGAGCCACGATACAGGATGACACCAGAAAGGGGACTGTGACCATCACCATGGAAAAGCTGCAGGTGCAGGACTCCGGAGAGTACTCGCCATGGAGAGCAGAGTGGAGGGGCAGAGTCTCGTCGTTCAGTGTCCCTACAGTTCACGGCAATACAGTAGAACGGAGAAAACCTGGTGCCGACTGAGAGAGGAGAGCTGCTTTCACTTAGTGAGCACCGTTTACTCATTACAAGGTAGATACCAAAACAAGGCTACGGCTGGAAGAGCCACGATACAGGATGACACCAGAAAGGGGACTGTGACCATCACCATGGAAAAGCTGCAGGTGCAGGACTCCGGAGAGTACTTGTGTGCAGTCCTTGGCTCTTCTAAGACAGTGAGTCGACTAACGGCAATTAAACTGAATGTTTACAAAGGTGAGTTGATTTCCCTCCAGGAGATAATTTCCCTCCCATTCCTTCCCCCACCTTCTCATTTCTGCATTGCCTGAATCCATTCTTCCTGCATTTTCCAAGAATCAGTCACTGTCCACTCAACGTTATCGCCTCTTTCCTGTCTCACATTGGAACCTGCTGTAAATCTCCAGCTAAGCTCAGCAATTCAGCGAACTGACCAGTCCAGCTTTTCCTGCTTTCCCCTCTGTACTGGCTTCTTTAGGAGGTTTGTCACTTTGTGAAGCTTATTGATGAAAGGAGCAGACTGAGGGTCACATCTGATAGTGCTCAGTCCCAACGACTGGGGCAGATCTCTAAGAGCTCAGGACCCAAAATGCGCCCCACACACTGAGCTCTGTGCAGAATCTGGCCCAGAAAGAGTCCACACAATGAGCTCTGTGCAAAATCTGGTCCGGAAAGGGTCAGTCACTCCCCTCGCTCTGCGAGGCATCGAGGTGATAAAGTGCATGACTGGGGCAGATCTCCAAGAGCTCAGGACCCAAACTGCGCCCCACACAATGAGCTCTGTGCAAAATCTGGTCCGGAAAGGGTCAGTCACTCCCCTCGCTCTGCGAGGCATCGAGGTGATAAAGTGCAAAGGGAACAGCCCACACAGTTGCTTTTTGAGGCAAACGAGACCAAAAACATCAGCTCCCATTCACCCCTTCCGTAACTCAACTGAGGCTGGTGAATGGAGCTACTCCGGGGAAGAATTTGGCTCCTTATGAATATGTCACTCATGGGAAACGTATGTCACTGATCATACTGGCCTGCTTTTGTGTTTTCCAGAAGTGCAAGAACATGATACCTTGGAGGGGCAGAGTCTCTCTGTCCAGTGTCCGTACAACAGAGAACTTTACAAAAGGGCAGAGAAAGCCTGGTGCCGAAGCACAACTCAGAGTACATGTGATATCTTAGTCAGCACTGATACCGGGATCATCACTTACCATAATGGGGCTCAGAACGGCAGAGCCACGATCCATGACAACCCCCAAACCGGGATTGTTACTGTCACCATGGAGAAGCTGCAGACAGACGATGCCGGGGTGTACTGGTGACTGGGATTGTTACTGTCACCATGGAGAATCTGCAGACAGACGATACTGGGGTGTACTGGTGCGTACGCTACGAGCCTCCCGATCTTTACCGACTCATTGAAGTTAAACTGACTGTTACCAAGGGTGAGTATTTACTGGTAGGGAAAATGTGTGTGTGGGAGGGGGGATTAGCAACACCACCTGAGGTCAGGATTTTAGCCATGTGGACATTTCTGCCCAGGTCCTTAACTCAAATAAGTTTTGATTTTCTTCTTTTAAATTATTGTTCTGGCGTGGGGTTGGGGGTGAGGGGTTCAGGATGCAGGCTGCCCCTGGGAGAGAGGACAACCTCAGCCCTCTATCTCCGCAGCAGCTTGGGGCCAGGCAAGAAGGGCCTCTTCATGGCCACTTCAGCTCCAGCAGGCACAGCTGGGGGAGGGATGCATGTCCCCTGGCTGGGGGCAGACAGACACACAAACAGATGAACTCTGAAATACAGAGTAGACAGCTATTCCTTTCTGCACCCCACCCCCTACTTCCCCAGTGGGGTTATTGCTGTCCCGGTCCCCATCTCTGGCCTCTTGCTGACCTCCCAGACGCCTCCCTTTCCATTTTATAAGAAACATTCAAAGTCCAGGCATAGCCCATTGTCCTGGCACAACCAGACCCTGACCTTAAGCTCTGGTAAGAGGAAATTGCACAACAAGTTTGGTGGTCCTAGCTCTTAGTGTTTAGGAGGAGTTCTTGAACAGACAGACTTCAGACTGGGGATGGTCTGCGGGCCAGATCCTCCCAGACGCCTCCCTTTCCATTTTATAAGAAACATTCAAAGTCCAGGCATAGCCCATTGTCCTGGCACAACCAGACCCTGACCTTAAGCTCTGGTAAGAGGAAATTGCACAACAAGTTTGGTGGTCCTAGCTCTTAGTGTTTAGGAGGAGTTCTTGAACAGACAGACTTCAGACTGGGGATGGTCTGCGGGCCAGATTCAGCCGGCCACGCTGTTTGACCTGGCCCCAGACCCCCCTGCCTCTCCGCTGCCCACAGGACAACTGAGACCTGCGGTCGGGGGAGCACACACAGTGTCCTCCCCTGCCAGAGGCGGGTGGCACCAGAGGGAACCGCCAGCTGTTCAAAATGGCTGGTGGTTCCCTCTTGGCACTGCATGCCCCTAGCAGGATGGGAGCAGGGGAGGGCAGGAAGACTTTGCGCACTCCCCTTCCTCCAGGCCCTGATTGGCTACACCTAGTGGGAACAGACTCCTTTTGATCCACCCCCTTCCACCCAAGGTTCGTGATCACAGCCAAAATTCATGAAGTGTCCCCACCCCCGCCAAAATTATTGCCCACCCCTGCTCCAGAGGGATGGACGGACAGATGGACAACACATATTTCTAAAATATATAATACAGTAAGTTGTTTCTTGCTTCCCCTTTATTTGAGAGCTGGTTCAATCCTCTCTATCTAGCTACTTTTAGCCTTGTAGCATTAAGTACCTGCATAGCAGCTGAGCACTTGAGTTCCAGCATAGCTACTGGATCTATTAATAAATTCAAATTTTATATTTTGATGGAGAAAATATGATGTTTTAAAAATTCTAACTCATATTTTAACCAACTCCAGTTTCTAGCTATTACCTCAAATTGCTTTTATTTTTTTTTAAGTCGATGAAATGTAACAGACTATCTATAGGAGGCCAGTAACTTTCTATGCTCTGTTCTTGACCATGTCAGTAGCAAAATTGCCAGGTGGGGATAGTCATGTACAAGTGAAGCCATTGGACATCAAGTCCCAATCAGAATTATATTTTTCTAGCTAGAAGTTCCCAAGACTCAAAACCATTTCATTGACAATGAAATATTCTGTTACCATCCTGAGATACTTTTTTTAATATTAAAAATAGAATTAAATGTAATTTAAAAACAAAAAGATTTTATTTTGAATCAGAAAAGTTACTTTTTCAAAATCGTCTTAAAGATTCTGAAAAAGCCAAAATATTGTGTTAAGTTGGTCTTGGGGTGTTTTTGCCACAATTTGACAAAATACGCCATCAATGTATTAAATATTTCAGTCAACCCAAAGCTGCTTTTTTCACCAAAAATAATTCAGTGCAAAAATTTCATCCTGCTGTAATCACAACATGTAGTCTGAGAGTCCTGGCACCTGATGGGAAAGTTGCTGTGATGTGCAGTAATGACCCTAAAAGCTATGACTGTAGCAGTCTTTTCCATGTTTCTAAAGCTTTGTTTCTTTTGGTTTGGTTTCCTTGTTGCTACCGAGAGACATTGCACAGATGATGCTAATGGACAGCTTGTCACATGCTCCTGGCGGGTTTTGTGTAGAACTGTCGCATGCTTTGCTTTACAAGAGAAGCTTTGCGAGAAAGAGCCACCTCCCAGTCATACCCCATGCTTCTCCCAGCAGCTTCAGTGGGAACATTAGCATAGACAAGGTTCAAGAGAATTGGCCAACCCGCTTTTTAACCACTGTTTTGTAACCAGCTCCAAGCAGGCCTGCAGGACGCAATGTTTACAGCACGGCCAGCTTGTCTCCATTAGCCCAGCAGATATGGTGAGAAATTTTATGGGATAAAGTCTGGTGTAGACAAGGCCTGAGGTATTGAAACAGTGTTTGTACTTGCAGCCACGACCACAAGCAACACCCCAGTTACCTCAAGCACAGATCACCTCAACCTAATCCTTAGCACAAGTAATGCTGGGGCCACCCCACTAGACAGCAGGTAAGGCTGCAACCCCTTCCTCCGAGACTGTCTCTGTGCTCGCCTGCCACCCAAAGGTTCTCAGTGCCTGATCCCACCTGCTCGTTTTTCAGAGGGAGAGTAGCAGCCTTTCACAGTGGCTCTGAATACAGCAGACCTCCTTTAAAAGGTGCCAAATGAGGGCCCTCTTCCGAGGTGCCACTCAGTATTAAATGGCCTGTGAGAAAACGAGCAGATAAAATCCAGGCCTCACCTCAGCCATTTGTGAATGGTCGAGTCACGTGACTGTGGTGTCATTAACCGTCTGAGCAGCTGCTCTTTGGAGAAATGGCGTTAAATCTGCACGGTATTGAAACCAAACGGTTCCCTGCAGCAGCCATTATGAAAGCAGAGACCCTCTCTCATTCCTGGTGCCAGCCAGTGGCCATTGTGCTCAGCTGAAGCTGCAGAAGGTCCAGGAGGGGATCGTCTTATTCTGTTTACTTGTTTTGTTCAATTGAGGCTGCTTTTTCTTGTCAAGGTCTGTGACTTGTAGGCACCATGAACCCCGTTACTCTAGGCACTTACAAAACAGAACAATAAAAAAAGACATTCCCTGTCCCCAAAGAGTTCACAGTTGGGCTTCAGGAAGTGGTTTGCTCTTGCCAGGCCACAGAACAAAGTTCAGGGCTCCACTCCATATGCCAACGGGCACACACAGGGGTTAGCATTAAAGGAGGTAGGACGTGATGAGAAAAAGCCTCCTAGGTAAGTGAGCTATTCCAGCTGTGGCCTGACTGCCCATTGGGTGTGTGTGAGGGGCTCTGTGAGTCATTCCTCTGCATTGTGTAGGTCTGTCTAATGCAGAGTGCCCTTGCTCCTTCAGCCTCTCGAATGAGAGAACTTTCATCATCCTCGGAGTGGTCCTGGGTGTCCTCTTCATCCTGGCGCTGATCGGCGTGGTGATATTGTGCACCAGAAAATCCAGGCGGCTGAAGAGCAAAGGTAAATGAGGAGTCGATGAGACCTCACATGGCCCCGGCTTTCACCTGGCTTCTCTAGTCTTCCTGGCTTTAACTTCGAGGGAATTCAGCTCCACTGCCGAGAAGGGGGAGAGTAGGACCAGCCAGGAAAGCAGCCGGCTGGCTTCCTACCACGTGTCCGAACTGTACAGGAAGCACATTTAGACTTAAACTGTGTCTGTGGCCCAGTCACGGCTTGGTCTGTTTATGATCTTTGTTTCCTTCTTTCCATCACATTCAAGCTCACACTAGCCTAGTCGTTTTCATTTTTGTCTGTAGCTGGTTCCTTTTGCTAGTGCCTGTGCACTTGCCCATGGCTGCACATCTGGATTAATGATGTTAAAGACTAGCCCGCTATCTGATAAGCAAAGTTGACTAGTCGATTGGTCGATTTCACACACACACCCCTTGCTGCCTCTATCAGAGGCAGCAAAGGGGGGGAGAAGGGGGTACTTCAAAGTGGCAGTGCTACACAGAGCTATACCCAGGCTCTGTGCAGCACTGCCCCTTTGAAATGCCGCCGAGACATTTCAAAGCAGCACTGCAAAGAGCTGATCCTGGGCTCCATCCGGCGCTGCCCTTTTAAGGGGGATATTTCAAAGGAGCAGCACTGCATGAAGCACTGCACAGCTGATCACTGCCACGGCATTTCAAAGCGGCAGTGCTGCATGGAGCCCACTCCCCAGCTGACTCCAGACTCTATGCTGGCGCTTCCATTCCCATAAATTTCAAAACTGGCACACGCGTGCAGCCCAGAGTCAGCAGAACTTCCCATTGGCTCCAGGCTACATGCGGAGTTCTGCATTCCTCCTTTGAAATGTACAAGAGCCCCAGTGGGGACTCTTGTACATTTCAAAGGAGGAATGCAGAAAGTCAATGGAAATTCCATCGACTACTCGACTAGTAAATTAATCGTTAGTTAACATCCCTAATCTGGATTACAAACACTACAGGAGAATGTTTGCATCAGGCACACTATTTTGATCCAAATTAAAAGAAAATCTTCCTAAAAATGCCCTGTTAATTTTAGCTTAAGAAAACCAAAACGTTGATCCTGAACTACTTCATCATCCCTCAATCTCTGTGAAAGGCTTTGAGATCCTTGGATAAAAAGGATCTCTTTTTATCCAGACCCACATGCATCTGACAAAGTAGGTCTTTGCCCACGAAAGCTTATGCTCCAATACATCTGTTAGTCTATAAGGTGCCACAGGACTCCTTGTCGCTTTTGGATAAAAAGGACTATGTATACCACAGCATTATTAGGCACACAAGCAACAAGCCAAGTAATCAAATCTCATG